AATAATAATAATAATAATAATAATAATAATAATAATAATAATAATAATGCAGCCCACGTCAATTTGGGAAATTTGCAGGAAATTTTGTCCTTTTTTTCTTCCCCCCACCCCGTTGGAAAAACTTTCAGGAGGAAATTCTGCAGAGTCCAAAGTCTAAGGATCACCGGCACTTTGCCTCGTCTGCTTTTGGCAACAGGGACGTTTTTCTTGGGTTCGGCGAGGAATTCGAAGCATGCTTTATAGCCGGCTCCGGAGAGCTACGCGGCTAGAAAATCTGCGGGGACCAGCTGCAAATTTCAGTGCTGGGAAAGAAAAATATCTTTGGCATCCGTTCCTCGTTTGTCTCAAGAGCCCACAAAACGGGGGGGGGGGGGGGGGGGGGGCCTGGAACCCAAGCCCCCTTGGGGGGGGGGGGGGGGGGGCCTGTCCACATTTGCACACCAACCGTGCGGAAATGCCAAGCAGGCTCCCTGCCATCCGCCGTCCGCAAACACGGCTCTTATCTTGGCGATAAGAAGGGGGGACGAGTTCCAGGCCTCGCCACCCGAAAGGCCATTTTTGGCTAAAACCCTGGACCTCCAGCGGCCGATACGATCAGCGAAAGCAGCTCATGGCGTCCGCCCGAAGATTGGGGACCCCAGAAAAGAAAAAGGGGGTGCTTTTTCTCCCCAGCCAATTCGGGGGAGGTTCCCCCCCACAAAATGCGCAAGACAGCCTCTGCGGAAAGCTGGGAGAAATTGCAATAATCTCATTTAAAAAAAAAAAAAAATCAAGAGCTTTTCTGCCGAAAGCAGAAAAGGAGGTTTTGGACCCAGAAAAAAGGGGTCTTTTTTCTCCCCATCTGATTCGGGGGGAGGCTCCCCCCCCCAAAAAAAATACAGCCTCTGCAGAAGTTGCAATAATCTCATATTTTTAAAATATGTATATCTCACGAGCTGGTTTCTTCCCGAGGAGGAAGACGCCAGCCAGCCAGCCAGATAACCTTAAGAGCCTCTGGAAAACAGGCGCTATTTTTATAGCCTCTGGAACGTGGGACTTGTAAAAATCTTTAATTTTGCAAACTTTGTTCTACTTTTAGCAACCTTTTATTTTGGGGAAAAGAAAAAGTTCTTTTAAGGCTAAGAGACTGCAGAAGAGGCCGACCAACCACAGATAAGTGGAAAGAATTCAACTACAGGTAGTCCTCGAATTACAACTGTTTATTTAGTGACCACTTGAAGTGACAACAGCATTGAGAAAAGTGACTTAGGTCCAGTTTTTCACACTTACGACCATTGGCCACGTGATCAAACTTCGGACGCTCGGCAACGGACTCCTATTTACGACGGTCGCAGCGTCCCGGGGAAGCAAACCAAGTCAATGGGGAAGCCAGATTCACTTAACGACCGTGTAATAAAAGTGCTAAAAAAATGGTTGTCACTTTTCCAGTGCCCTTGTAATATTTGAGCAGTCGCTAAACAAACCGTTGTAAGCCGAGAACTGTCTGCATTTACTTTCTGGACTGATAATACAATACAATACAATACAATATTGTATTATAATGCAATATAATATAAAACTAATATATTGTAATGCAATGCAATATAATATATAGCATAGTATAATTAATATATTAATATAATATACTATAATACAATACAATATAATGCAATGCAATATGATATAGTATAATATTGTAATGCAATGCAATGCTATATAATGTATAGTATTGTATAGTAGAATTAATATAATATATAAATGTAATGCAATGCAATATAATATACTATCCTATAATATTGTAATGCAATGCAATGCAATAGTATAGTATAATTAATGTAATAATACGATATAAAGTAATGCAATATAATGCAATATACTATAATAAATGCAATAGGATATATAATACAGTGGCTGCTTTGGGACTTTGCTCTCCAGTCCTGATGCCCTAAAGGGGGTCATTTTTGCAGCTCTCCCATCCGAGACCCTCCCCATTACCTGACGAAGTACATGAGCCCGCCCAGAGTGACCGCCTTGGGGGCGAAGGACCAAGGGGGCAGAGGCCCACAGTTCACCAGCGTCCAGAGGTCCGACTCCGGGTCGTAGCACTGCATGACCATGGACTCTTTGCCGGCCAGGGAGCCGGTGGCGTAGAGCTTCCCGCGGGAGGTGACGGTGGAGCAGTCGTCCATGGGGTAGGGCATGGGCTGCAGGACCTCCCAGCTGTCCAGCGTGTGGTCGTAACGCTCGGTGCTGTCAGCCGCCACGATGTAGAGCAGGCCATCCAAGACGGCCGAGCTGTGGTACTCACGGGCTTTCAGCATGGGGGACACCTCCGTCCACTCGTTCACGCTGGAGTTGTAGCGCCAGACGGAGTCGTAGAGGCGCGAGCCGTCGGAGCCGCCTGCGGAGGAGAGTCGTCAGAGAGCAGGTGCAGAGAGCTTTGGGCTAGCGGGAAAGGCACCGGGCTTAGAAACCAGGAGAGGGTGAGTTCTAGTCCCAGGTTACGACTGCAAGGTGGCTGGAAGGCGGTAGACGGGGAGTTTCTAGTTCCACCTTAGGCAGGAAAGCCAGCTGGAAGTCAGTGAGTTCGAGTCCCACCTTAGGTAGCTTTCCTGCCTACGATGGGACTAGAACTCCCTGTCTCCCAGTGACCGGGCCCAAATCACCCAGCCGGCTTTCCCGCCTATTACCGAACTAGAACTCCCACTTTCCAAATCCCAGCAGGGCATCGCTGCCCCCCTCCAAGCGCCTCCCCAGCACAGGCCCGATCCTAACCCTTTGTCTTCCCGCCCAGGGGTCCCGGGTGCAAGAAGTGGGGGGGTCTGCCTCCTCACCGGTGACGTAGACATCGTTGCCCAGGGCAACGGCGCTGTACCCTCCTCCCAGGTGGTCGGGGAACTCGGCCAGGTAGCGCCAGTGTCCCGTGCGCGGGTTGAAGCCATCCACGGTCACCAGCTCGTCGCAATCCCGGTCGCAGCCGCCCAGCACCACCAGCAGCTCGGCCAGCCCCGTGGAGGGGCGAGGGCGGAGCCGGGCGCAGGGCGATCGCTCGTGCCGATCCAAGCGGCCCGCCTGGAAGAGCCGCGCCTCGGCCACCAGGCGCAGGCAAGCCGGGGAGCGGGCCACCAGCGGCTCCCCCTCGACCTGCGCCAGGAGGGCGAAGCGCCGCACGAAGGGCAGCCGCACGTGGGCCAGCAGCTGGGGCAGGAGCCCCGCGCGCGATCCGGGCTCGGCGCGCACCCAGCGCAGGGCCAGGGCGAAGGCGGCCTCCTCCTTGGGCACGCGCAGCGCGTCCTCGCGCAGGTAGGAGACCAGCCGGGCCAGCGGGACGCGCTCCAGCTGGGCGCCCAGCTCGCCCTCCGGGTCGGCGGCGTGGCGCAGGACGCAGCGGCGGGCGGCTTCGGCCAGCGGGGCGCAGGCGAAGGTCTCGCCGAAGTCCTGCAGGTCCAGCGCGGCGGCGGGCTCCAGCCGGGCGGCCAGCCAGGCTCCGCAGGCGGCTTTGACGGCCGGGAACTGGAGCAGGTCGGCGGCGCGCAGGAGGCGCTCGGCCAGCTGCGGCTGCGGCGCCGGGGGCGGCGGCTCCGGCTCCTCGGCCCCTCCGCCCGGGCTGAGGGCGCCCAGCTGGCCCGTGTAGGCGAAGTCCAGCAGCAGCGCCAGGCAGTCGGGCTCCACGCCGTGCAGCCTCACCCGGGACGCCCGGGCTTCGCGCAAGCCGCCGGCGAACATGGCGCGGAAGTAGCCCGAGGCGGCGGCCAGCACCGCCCGGTGCGCCCCGAACTCCTCGCCGGTGCCGGCCAGGAGGGTGACGTCCAGCAGCGCCCGCTCCGAGCGCAACGCTGCCAGGCCGCGCAGGAGAGCCGAGGCGTGCGCCGCTTCCGCCTCCATGCCTGGAAGGGCCGGACTGAGAGACGCGGGCCGGAGGGGATCGCGCGGGGCTCCGCCCGGGCAAGGCGCCCGCCTCCTGGGCGGACCTCGGAGGGCGGGCAGTGGGGAGGGGGCGGCCGCCCTGCCGGGGTCTCCAGCGCTGCTGGTTCCTTCTGCTATAGAACGACGGGGTTGGGCAGGGACCCTGGAGGTCTTCTAGTCCAGCCCCCCCTGCTCGAGCAGGAGATCCTACCTACCGCATCCTGTTCGAAACGGCTGTCTAGTAGTCTCTTGCAAAGGGGGGGGGGGGGGGGGGGCTTGCAGGGATTGGAGTCCAGTTATTATTTACTGTTATTGTCTATTTTACTTTTTGGGATAAAACAATAAAGAATAAAGAATAAGGAGGAGGAGGAGAAGAAGAAGATGAGGAAGAGGACGAGGAGGAAAAGAAGAGAAGAGAAGGAGAAGAGGAAGAGGAGGAAAAGAAGAAGAAAAAAAGAAAGGGAAAGAAGAGTAAGACTGTCAGTCATTCCTGTCCCTTGAAGGGGATCTGGGGACCCCTGGGAAGATGGGGGCGTCCGGGTTCAAGGACGGGAGTTCCTTTGGGTGCCCCCTGACATTTCTGAATTCGGAAGCTGCCTCTGGGCTCTCCTTTCCCTGCCTCACCTGTTTGTGTCCTTCCAAAGTTGTTTACACACCGAAGCCAGAACGGAAATTTTATACAGGTTGTCCACGCCTTACAAACAGCTACATTTAGTGACTGTTGGGAGGTTACAACTGCACTGGGGAAAAAAGGCCACTTAGGGCCGCTATTTCCACTTAACGACCGTTTGCGGCATCCCTGTGGATCACACGGTCGAGATTCAGAGGCTTGGCAACTGGCATGAACTTATGACGGTTCCAGCATCCCAGAAAGTCACGTGTGATTTCCCCCTTCGGTGGCCTTCTCGATGGGGCAGAGCCAAGGGGGAAGGCCAGATTTGCTGGACCGCCGTCGTGCCGCTTAACGACGGCGGGGATTGGCTGAACAAGAAGAGGAGGACAAAAAGCGGATGTTTTGCACCCCGGATTTGCGGACATTGTAAATCTTGTCACCCCCAAAGAAATAGTGGATGGACTCAGGTTCTTTTTCTGTGTTTCTCATGTCACCCCCGCCACCGACCATGCCCCTCCCACCTTAGACACACACACACACACACACACCCCACAAAAGCAGAAATGAAAGCAATACAAAAGGTGCCAATCCCTTTCTCCCCCCCCCCTCTCCTTTTTGGGGGGTAAATCCGCTCTTTCTCCAAGCTATGGCCCATCATCTCTCTTTTCTTTGGCTGCTGAGCACCGGGACTTGAAATGCAAACGAGCCCCCTTTGAGGAGGGGGCCCCGAGGAGGCAAGTTTCTAGTCCTCATGGGGGAAGGGAGGAGCACTCGCCCCCCCCCCCCCATCGCTAACCCCCGGCTTCGGGTGGAGGATCTAGAAAAAGAGCCGGCCAAGGGGGAAAAAAAATAATCAAATCAATTTTTTTTAAAAAATTGCTTCTTCCATTTTAGCAAAGGGGAAGACCAATAATATCAAAAGTGGCTGGTAAAGACCAGGGAGAGGCTTCGGACTACGTTCTCCGGCATGCCCTGCGCGTGGGCCACGGTGGGCATGCGTCGGCTTGCCGACACCGACCGTGGACTACGATTCCCGGCAGGTCTCGTGTGCCGCGCAGGCGCACCAGCAGCGAATAGAGGCGGAGCCCAGGCGGCGGCGGGGGGGGGCCAAGTCTCCCCCTTAGCCTGCCAGGGCGGGGCTCCCCCCTCTCCCCGCCCACCCCAGACCCCGCTGCCGGTACCGGGCGACGCCGCCGGAGGAGACCCCCGCCATGGACTCGGACTCCTGTGCTTCCCCGCTGCCCCCCGAAGTGAGTCGCCCCCCCAAAGGGGCATCCCTCTTCCCGTGGGGGGGGGATCTGACACTGGGCACCCCTGGCCACGCCCACGGAGATGGGGGAGTGGGAGAAATCGGACCCCCCC